AAATGAAATCAGTCAGTAAATGTAAAGTATTATCAGCAAATAGCTATGTTATTTATTCAAATAATTATGATTACCCAAAAGAACCACCAGAAGACTTCAAGCAGTTAAATGTTATGGCTAGAAGACACAGTAGATATTGTGAAAAATTTTATCAATGTTTTATTGTAAAAGTGTTGAATTCTACAATAAAAGGTCAACATTTTGATCATTTTTAACTTGTGTAATTTTTTAATAATCTAAGTTTGCAGTTTTATTGAGGATTTAGTTATATTTTAGTATTTAAAATGTCTATTTGGACTTATTTTATTAACAGGACTTACTATACCAATGTCTTTGTTCAACAAAATTTAAGAAAGCCTATCAGAAAAAACAATTTTTATTTTTCACTTGTACTTATATTTTCCAGATACCTGCATATAATGTAAGTCTGAATAGACATTTTAAATACTAAACTATAAGGTAAGGACACAGAGGCATATGGTTTAATTTAGTTATATTGTTGAGCCAGTTTTGCTGTTACTTCTGAGTTGGAATGTAAAAAGGATGTAAAGAATAGACACTGAAAAAAATTATTATATTTTTTAATGTAAGTCTTCTGATACTTTAAACATTATCAGCAAGTTGACACTCCAAAAATCAGTAGTAAACCATTGTAACAACAAACTAAAAGATTGGAGATCATGATTGTAAAACTGCTTGAAAATTCAATTTGTTACATTATTTATGACAATGAATCTTATTCTGTGTTTAAAACTTTAGCTACAACTGGATTCTACACATGAAATAAAGAAAATGTCATGTGAAATAAAATATATAAGTACCAATAACACTTTTTGAAACTTTGAAACAAATAAAACTTTTGTTTCAAATGATCAGTGAGAAAAGCCAATTGGAACCTTATTTTGTGCCTACAAATTCTGTCCCAGATGTGAAAACATAGTTGACTGAATGTATTTAATCTAAATTGAAGCCATTTATTGGCAAAAATTACTTAATGATCATTATAACATCTGACCTGATGGCATATTATATCACTGTGCAGCCATTATTGTCTTAAAACTAAAAATTTGAATATTAATTAGGTAAAGAAAGAAGAAAATCCACTCAATATGCCTCAATATGGCCTATAGAAAGGTTTTAAGCTCATCTGAAACAAAAAATTTTATCAAAATGTGAGTAAAATCAATCACGCTCAAAACTCAGATTGGAAAAAAAAAACTGAGTTTTGTGGAAATTTTTTAAACTTTTCACTAATGCCAAACATAAAATCTCATCTCTACTTGTGCTACTTGCAAACTTTTTTCTGTGATTAAATAAATTTGAATTAAGTTTCGATCTCTCATGTTTGGAGTTGTGCTTATTTGTTTCTCATGTATGGATTTTTAGTTCATCCCTCTTACTTCCATATATCTTTCATGATATAAGAGAATAAAGGCATTTAAATAAAATTAACTCAAATATAAGCAAAATAATGTAATATTTTAGAAGACTTTTGTACACAAATATTAAAATACAAATTCTTTTTTTCAAAATAGTTATATAAATTGAATATGATAACATGTAGCATTAATTACATTATGTATATTTTATAAAGTTTAGTTTGTTAACTTAATATTAGTTTTGTCCTTAGTTTATTTCATTTATTGTACAGAACTGTTGATTTTTATCATTTCTGTTCAGATGGTCTTCTTAAGAAGTGAATTTAATTTCTTTTAAATCATTAATGTACAGCAAATTTATTTTGCTAAGTTATTACATACAGAATAGTTGCTGATTTGATGCTGTAGCATAGCAGATTATAAAAACAGTTATTTTGATAAAAGAAATATTAAAATTAAATAATGGAAAGGAAAATTATTCTTATTTATTTGGGGGAAACAAAGGAAATGTTCTGCTAAGCCAAAACAAAAATTTTAATTGAATTTTTAGTTAGAAATTACAACAATAGAATTCTAAAATGATGAAAAGCTATGCACAAGGATATAAATAATTTTTAAGATGTGTGAATAGATTTAATAAATTATTTATATTTGTTAAAGTAGTATTGTAGTATTTTATTTTAAAAATTCAAATTAAATCTTACTCTTCTAAAAAAAAAGAGCATTAAGAAGAAGAATGATCTATTTAGATATTTTAAATTAGATGATGATGATCCATTTAGTGATGAGTATATAGCAGTTCTTTCTATGAAAGTTAAAATTAGAACTATGAATAGCTTCAACTTACATTATTTATTTAAACACCTGTGTTTACTTATAATTATCTTCATAAATTATCCTTCTAGATTTTCTAAAATGCATTTTGAATGCCAGTTTGAGAATAAACAAGATTCTAGGAAAATCAAATGTTTAAATGAAAATCCTACACAATTTTATTGTATTGTAATTTCCATTTTTAAAAAAGGTAAATTTTAAGATCAAGAGAATTCTTTTATCTTAAAATTTATCTTTTTTTAAAAATAAACAATTAACAATTATATAACATCAATGTACAGTAAATAAATTTATAATTGAAAATATATTTAATGTTTTAATGTAATAATATCTGTGTAAAGATTAAAATAAAATTATAACATTTATTTATTCATTTTCTTAGAATATTTTAAAAACGGTGTAGAATTTGGTAAAGAATATCAAAAGTTAATTCTATTCATTCACCCATTTAAATTTATTTTATTAAGATCAATATTTGTTTTCAATTCTGTGTGCAAGGTAGAACGAATGTGGGTGTCTAGATTCTTTACATAATTTTATTGTGATGTTATGTTTACATTGTGAATGTATATCATATATACAATGTATAACTTTTATACGTATATACATGTAAAAATGAGGGATGAAAGATATTGATAGACATACATCTGTTTTGAATAGTATTGTAAACTATGTTGTTGATATTTTAATGTTAATTTTGTATTGTTTATATAAATTTATGCACCATGTGAGATGTACACTTATAATACAACATTATATTTATATCTGACTACACAAATCAATAAACAAACATAACACAATTCATATTGTTTGACATATAATAATATGCCACATTATAGGCCAAAAGGGATCACCTGACTTTTTTCAGAGGTCCTCGGTAATGTCTGGTTTATTAATTTTTGAGGGAATTAAGTGTTTGATTATATATATATATATATTTTTTTTTGTCTTATAACTGCATAAAATTTAGTATTTTATCCTAATCTTTAATGATTAAGATATTCTAATAATTTATTAAGAGACAAATGTTAATAGTTGCTGTTAATTTGTGATTTATTGGAAATTAATTTAATAAATTTCAAAATTGGAAGAATTTTGTTAAAGTTTTACAAATGAATGTTAATGCCTAAATTTTATTGTTTATAAAATATTTTTCTAAATATATCTAAAAAAAGGGAATAAATTCTTTTCTATGTTTGGCACAAACTTTTTTGTCTGTTATTACAGACAATTTTTCTTTTTATAACATATTTATGGGCCATAATAATGTAATTAACTCAGTTATATCATCTGACTCTGGAGAATGGAATTTAGTTTTTAAAAAATTGATTTTTTTTTTTTTGGTTCAAAAAATAACTGAACTGAACTTCCTAAATGAGGTTTGAATAAATGAAGTTTCTATAATAAACTTTAAAAAATTTGATTTGAATGAAAATTTGTCATAGAGAGAATAATTAGAAAAATAAAAAAATATATTAAAATAAATTTATTTTAGGTTAAATATTAGAATAAGATTATCTTCTAGTTTATATTTAACAAATTTTATTCTTTTGTATGTTTTAACATTACTATATTTAGCTCTTTCCTTAAATAGCTTGAAAAAAAAATTTAGAAACTTTTACTGTTTTTGTAGATAATTAAGTTCATTTTTTATGTTTAATTTCTTTTCTATTATTGGCATGTTGTTTGTGATCTGGAATGTATCTAAAGAATTGTTATTGTTTATAAATAAGTGTTAATGCGGAAAGCCTGTTTTCATTTCTAGATGCCGAAGTTTTCTGTTTTTTGTTTTAAATAAATTTGTTCTAATTCTAACATGTTTTTCTAGAAAAATAAATTTTATTGAACTTGTTAGATACTAATATATATATTATTATTTTTACTCTGCTATAAATATCAAAAATTTTGTATTTATAAAACAAAATCAGGCATTTTAATAAAATCTTTGTATATGCAGTAATACATATTTAATACAGGTACGAAAATATAATTTTCTACATATATCAAAAATTAGTGTGTTTATTCTATATTATTAAAGCAGACAACAAAGAAATCTATTTTCTGGTGCTAAAATGATCATTTTAACATCAAAAATCTTTTTTGTTGACTATTTTATATATGTTGTATATGCACTGTTTTTATCTTATTATATTCTTAAAATTTATTAGTTTAAATGTATTCTGATACAGTAATATTCTGCATTATGAATATTATGTTTGGAATTACTTTAAAACAGTGTCAACACTTTTACATAATTTATGAAATAGTAAAAACTACTCTAATAATGAAGTTTAATCAGTTGCAATAATTATAATAATATAAATTAATATTTTTATAAATTTTTAATTCAAAACATAATCTTTAAATTCACTGGGGATGTTTTTTTTTCTTTTAAATCACTACATTTTACACATTCATTTTTACAACTTAATAATACCGTGTTTGTTTTTTTTTTCCTGTTAATGTATACTTAAGTGCTTTGATCATTAAATATACTTCGTAAAAAGAAATGCCATATGCTATTTAACTCTTTCTTTAGTCATTATTATTGTTATCAGTATTGGCAAGGTTTCAAGTGATTCAAAGAATTACAGCATTCCAATAGCTAATGCAAAAGTAATAACATGACAATTGTTTGTATAACTAGATTCATTCTGTATTATTAATATCATTAATAATTCATCTGACTACTTGACTAATTTAAATACGTAATAATATAATTTTTGAATTTTGAAATGCATAAATTTTTTATAACTTAAATAAATTAATTTGCTTTTATATTTATAGATGATAGGAAGTTCACTTCTTTTTGTTCACGATTCCAATCATGCTAGCATTTGGATGATCGACTTCGGCAAGACCATGCCTCTACCCGGTAACATAAAAATTACTCACAAGGATCCGTGGGTGGTTGGAAATCACGAAGACGGATATTTGATCGGTATTGACAGTCTAGTTAAACTCTTTGAAGAACTTTCCGAAAACGGCGCACCTACCTCGACAGAGTTTTAGAAACAAAGTAAGGTCGACGACCAAACTCAGGGATTTAAAAAAAAAATCAATATAAGTGCCATTATTGAATATATTTTTAACAAGCAAATTGTAGGTGCTTTTAGTATCTTTTTTAGAGACAAATTAAAAAAGAATTATAGATTTAAATTAAAAATGACTTTGAAGGAGTTTGACAGCTTGTGCTAAACTATGCTTAATTCATTTCATACACTTTTATTAAAACTGAGATTTTTGTCAATAATTTATAAGTATGTAGTAGTAAATTTTTTCTTTTCAGCAAGATGAATTTCTTCTTAATTCATTAATCTGTAACTTGCATAGCAATCCAATCTCTTAATTACATATTGGATATATATAAATATTGAATATTTTTAATTCACACAAAATAACTATTTTGAAAAATTAATTTTTGTACATATAATTCTAGATGTAAATATTCTTTTACTTCTTGGGACCAATAACAAAATGATCATCGTCATTTTATCCAGTGACTTATATCTCAAGTTATCATCCTTGCTGTTGTAAAGATATTCAAATTGTATATATTTATAACTATCATCTTAAAATTGAAAATTATTGTACATAAGGTTTGAATTTGGAAATGATTCAAAGAATAATATTTCATTAGAAATAATGTCTTGTAGTTGAAAAGTTTGAATTATTTATTTATCATAAATGTCTTCAGTTTAAAATTTTTACAAAGATGATATTAAAAGGTGCTGCTTTTATATATAAAATTCTGTATTTTTTTAAACAACCAATAAATAAAATTTATGCATTTATATGCTTAGTAAATAGTAATAATATGCAACTAATATAAAAATGTAAAAAATATAATTGAAATTCAAACTTGTCGAGTATGTTTTTAATTCATTTGATTTATATATTATATATATGTTAAATATATAATTAATAATTTCCAAAAGCATAAGTATTTCAGATAATATTACATAATATTACAAACATTAAAATTAATCAATTGCTATTTTACCAAACTAAAGCAATCCTGATTTTCCTGAAGTTTAATGAGCTCATGAGCAAACTCGAGGTTGGTTATTTAGCCTACTGTGAAGTGATTCCATCTGTTACACAAGATAAAATGTCAACCTTTTTAAATATTTTTCATTTTCAAATTCTTTTATTTCCATTATCTACAAAGCATAACTTATCAAATTTAATTTTGGTTAAATTAAACATTGAATGTTCTGAATATTTCTTTGCTATGCTTTAATAAATGCATTTCGATTTGGATTGTTTTGAAAGGAATGATTTAGTTGTTGCCATTAAGTTTTTTTTAATGATAGTCTTTTTTTTTCTTTAAAGAAACAATAAAGAATAATGAGGATAGCTTTATATAAATTAATATAAAAAAATAATTGAATTTAGTATACATAGGAATGCAAGTTTGCTTAATGAAAAATATATCTGATAAATGCATTTTTTTATACATTAACATATTTAAACCTATTTTATATATCATTTTATTATAAAATGAAAGCATGTAAGTAGCCATATTCTAGAATTTTCAAATACTTGATTCTAAGAATAGAATTGACTCTTCTCAGTAAAAATACCAACCTTTGGCCTAATGAGACTAAATATATAAAATGATCTAATGTAATTCTTAATCCAAATCACTATTTACAGTGCAAATTATTTATGAATTTAGATTCGTAAAAGCAAGTCATTTTTATTGTAAACAATAGTTTGACTTCCTGTTTATATCACCGATTTTTCCAGAAATTTCTAAACCATCAAAGAGGTTTTGAGTACAATGTACTGGTACAGTACACATTTCATCAACTATTTAAATTATTTGTTTTTTAATGAAACAAATTTTTCTTCTTTGGAAGTCTTTAGTTTGGTAAAAGCCAAATTTGATTTTAAAAAGTATATATATACATAGATATATCTGAGAGTTAACTTCTTTTATTTACTTAATATATAAAAAAGATATTATGTAGTATATGAATTTCTAGTCTAGTGAATGTGAGCTTAATTCTTTTCACATATTTAAATTTAGAAGGTCTCTATTTATTTATCTTCTCAATTGTAATTTTATTAACTTTTCCCATTTATTTAATAATAAATATCTCAAATTGATCTCATTTGTTGGGATATGACCATATTTTTTCAATATTTACTTTTTTAAAAAAAAAATCAAAGTTAGTTTATTTTTTTTTAATGTTAAATATCAATACAATCAATTTGTGTTGATATCAATGCAGTGATGTATTCCACAGTAAGTTATTACTTAGTTCATTTTGTATTGTAGAGTATTGTGAAATATTATGCAAACTATGTTAATTATAATCAAATAAATCCGTATTCTGTATTTATTATATATTATAGTCTTTATTTCAACATAATCAAATGGGAAGGGATGGGAATTTTTTTCAATATTTACAAAAAGTTTTATATATAAAGCAAAATTAAAAAATATTTTCAAACAAAACACTTTTTTCGTTTATTAAATAACCTAAATTTAAAATATTTACATAAAAACATTTTCCTTTTTTTTCATTTACATATTCTGTACATAAATCAAATCTAACCTTGTCATAGATGGACGGAAATGATGGGACTTTTCTTAATGATTGAACTTAAAAATGGTGACTGTCCACATAATGACAAATAATACAGTCCAAAATCAAACTTCAGTTAAAAATTGAAGTATCAAGAAAAAGAATGTCAATAGACATTATTTATATTCTGCTTCATTATATACAAAAATAGTCTCAGAACTTCATCCATAGTATGTCACTCGCTGAGCAGGCATTCTACTTATAGGCGGTAATGGACGAATTCTCGGTATCCATTTTCGTTTTTTTGATTTGTAATCGAGGAAAATGTAGAATACCTTTATTATTTATCATTTATATTCTCTCCAAGGCACTAAATAAGTCAGACACTAGTCGACTGTAGACTTTCTAAATCGATTCCAATGGCGGTCAAGTGTGATATCCTCCTATTAGGTGTACCGTGATTTGAATTAGAAGTATTATTATTATTATTATTGTTATTACTGCTGTTACTATTATTGTTACCAAAACAAGGTCCTATAAACTCTAAATGACTTCTGTTAAAGGGTTTGAAGTCAGTGTGTGTCTCTTCTTCTGCACCGGAGACAAGAACAATAGGAAGACTGTGTCTCCTCTGCGGTAATGCACCTTGAGTGGCCAGATCTAATGCTTCTAATTGTCCTTTTAAGCGCCTGGGATGATAAGGTTGTCGATGCCTGCTTGGATATTTTGATTCGTCTTTTAAAGATTGCACTAAATTAAGAAGTCGTTGTATTTGATAGTCCCTGTTGTGGTTCTTGTCCCTCACAGTATCCTTCTCTTCCGAAAGGATGGGCGTTTCGGGATTAGGAAACGATTGCACACGTGGCATTCCGTGTCGTCCAGATTTTGGTTGTTTCTGTATAAATAAAATAAATATGAGTAATCAAAATAAAATCATCAGCGAACTTTACAATATAAACGTGAAAGTTCGGGCTCAGAAACTGGCCTTGACCTTGAGTGACTATCGATTTTTCTGACGATATCCGCTTCCATCTGCAAATTGTTATTTCTTACAAACACGAATCAACTTAAAATTTGGCCATTTAAGTTAGTCGAGTTTTAAACGAGAGAAAAATGCGTCTTATTTAATTATTTCCCATTTCTTAATGCTATTTATTCGACACCAACGTAATGGGTAACGATGCGCTTTATTTTACGAAATTATTTTTGAACTTTGGTCCGAACACAAAAGGTAATGTGAGAAGTTGGGCAAAAAGATACTCAGCGGGAGAGAGAAACAAAAAAGCTTAAAGGGGTTGTTAAGCTTGGAATAGATCGTTAAGTTTGCCAATTTGCTGACTCACTTAACGACGTAATTAAATCGAATCAAAGTATTTAAGTATAGATACGCCGCTATCTTTATATATCTAATAAACCCATACTAACCTTAGAAAATTCTTGTAAAATATGATATATCTCGTCTATTCTCTGTCCAAATTTCTGTTGGGTATGATGAAAACTTGTAGATAAACGCCTCTCCACCCTCCGGATGTGCTTGCACCTCATAGCTCGAGAGATATAATTCAATATCATGGCTAAGTATCCCAGACCGAATATTATCCATAGAACCACTCCCGTCTTGTATATCCAGATATATTCACCGTCGAAATTGGCTAAAGGAAATTCTCACGTTAGCGTGTTTTATAAAAGGTGCAAATACGGAGCGTTGGAAGCTTCTTACCTGCTACATAATCTCCAAAACCGATAGTAGACAGAGTAATGAAGCAATAGTAAAGGCCTTCTATAAAAGTCCAGTTTTCTATCATAGTAAATACTCCGGCTGGTAGTATCATAAATACTACAAACCAAGGCAGAAGAAAGGTAAAGGCATTAATGGCTAAAGCTACTTTAGACGAATAGTACTTTTTGGCCCTCTCCAAACTTTTCATTAAATGTTTGCTGAAGTGATCTCCTATTGCCGCTAGCAATATTCCGGTCATGGGGATGCCTATCATGGCATAAAACACGCAAAAAATCCGACCCGGTACAGTAGAAGGCGCTAAATGGCCATAACCTGAAAAAAAATACACATACAGAAGTTCTTAAGTACGAGAATTACAAACATAAAAGGATCGTAAATATAAAAATAGTCATTTGTAAATAAAATATCGCAATTTTATTGCTTTGGTAAAAAGCATTATTTCACAATTTTATTTTTGTTAAAAAAAATAATGCGTTTTTCTCTTCACCCTCCTTAATTATTTTTATTTTTGCAAGTTTATAATGTTGCCATGACGACTCGTGTTTAACCTTGAATCAAATTATCGGACACACCCTATTGTCCCAATTCCATATTCGAACTCGAAGATTTTATTAAATAATTTCCTGATCACGTACATAACGTGAGAAATTATTTAAGGATCGAACGTTAAATTCCCCCCCTTTTAAATTCGGGATTGTAAAAAAAAATGATGTATTTTTATGCAGCAACCATTTATTATTTCTTTTATTATTTTACACGAAGAAAATCGATATTGGGGAAGCACGATTTATAAGTTTAGTAGCCTACGTTTGGCACTGCAAAAAGTGAAGGTTGCATACGAGTTGCATGCAAAGTACGAGTGTAAACGTTTTACTATTGAAATTTGTCTGGAAGAACGAAATAAGAAATAAAAAATGGAGTCAAATTTACTTAATTTATATCTAAAAATAAACTGTAAAAAACTGAATTAAAGCACTAAAAATACATAATTTTTCGGGGAAATTTTGCTGATGTTAACGAGTTCTTGGATCTAGACCACGTTTAAGAGATCGTCCTTCTGGTACTATAATTGTTATATATTTTCAAATTTGGCACTTTTATCTATAAAATATACTCTTAAAATATCTAAAATGGTAGCCGAAAAGATTATCATTGCGTGGGAAAAGCTATAAAACTGCTCTTCCAGCTACTTTCTTAGTTCGTCTCAAGGCTAACGCTTTGAAGAAAGGAGCCGATCTTCTTTGAGATCTTTTCAAAAGTCAGTTTTCTCGAGCCGACCGTTTTATTTTTGGTTATTCAAAATTGATATTCCGAAACAATCTTTATATTGTCACAATACAAGGATTGGCTTATCACCAACGTCGTAGTTGGAACATTACCATAAGTAATAAAATATGGAGTATCGCTCCGTTTTGACCTTCATTCATCTCCTCCCTCGTAAGAAAACAATATGGACGACTTACCTATAGTCGTAACCACAGTTATGGCGAAAAAGAACGAATTATAAAAGCTCCAATTGATGCGCGTGATGTTCCCATCTTCGTCTACCAAATTCATGCTTTTGGCATCCGCTAAAGTACTTATTATGTGTTCGATTTCCACCTGAGTGAAATTTGGATGGTCGAAGAATCTTAATTTCTCTGCAAAGTAAAATAAAACATATTAAAATCGATAAAAATCTGGACTAAAATAATTTGATTTCTATGAAATTTTGATATCTGCATTTATCGACTTGTAGAAAAATGCGAAAACTCCTAAGAAATCTGATGAATCAGTAATGCGGAAGGTAATCAATTTTTATATGGAAAGGTAATCAATTTTTACATAGGAAAAAAATATATTTATTGTTATAACTAGGATTCTAGACATTTTATATAGATCTAGAATTTATAGAATGCTCCCATAAGAAAATTATGCGAAATTATAGGTATTAGGTGCATAAATGCTACGGTATAGCTACCATATGAATCTATCAATAGTAACGATTTCTTCAACTATTTAAGCATAATTTTTACGTAAAAATTCGTGTACCTTCAGGAATTTTTCAAAACAATCTAAAACACGAGCTCGATGATTGTTTTACATATCTTTTTTATTTTGTAAAAAAAAAAAAAATCGATTTAAAACGAAATAATTTGGTAGTAAGCCAAGACAATTCCGTAGCAGTTACATTAACGTAATGAAACTTTATACTGGAATTATTGCACACGTTCTCGTACGTCTGGGTCATTATCTTTGTTGATTGCAAAAGAAATCGATTACGGTATTAATTTTGTAGCTAAACAATTGGCCTCGTCAACGTTACAAAATTTAAATACCGCTTGATATAGAGCTTTCTTCTCCATCTCTGACAGAGACGAGCCAACCACTTCTAAGAAAGCCGAAAGTGGCAAGTGGCCAAAGCGCAAAATTTGGCTACGATCGTTTTTAAACTGTAGCAGCGACGAGTGAGTGATGAGCTGCTCTTCATTATCTCGCGCTCGTATCTTTAACAAACGCTCAATTATATCAATATACCTATTTAAACTAACAAGTTGCTCTTTATCAGCGTATTGATCTCGTTTCTAGTGGGCATTCGCCATGCCAAAAACCCTCTCCATATCTATACAAAAATCATTTTGTTCCGAGTTCAACAACACTCTACTCTAATATAATCACAAAAGCCAAATTTTATAATTTCTGTTAATAAAAAATGCATTTACTCATCGATCCAACTTCTTGGAAGCTAAAGATAATCACAACTCTGAAGGATTTATTGAGATAATAAAAAGTCATTCATCAATATTACGATTATCACGCGGAGTGATAAAAATATAATGAAGGTAAAAGCTATTTTTAAAATTTATTCGAATATTTAAGATTATAAAAAGTTATCATTATCTCATTTTTCATTTATGAAATTATTAAAGGCTCGTTTATTTAACAATAAAAGAGTGATACCAACCTTTAAACTGCCTTTGTTCTACCACTAAGTCGTGCCTCGTCGATTCTTCTGCCGGTGATTCTATTGCCATAAAAACTGCCCCTCCAATTAAAACATAAACTATGAACAAGATGAGCAATGCTAGGACCTCTTTCTTGGATACCGAAATCCCCTGTTAAAAACAGATTCACACATAAGAGTATTGTATTTAATAATAATCTAATTATATCTAGTAGATTAAGCTCTGTGTTCGAGGTAAGTAGTCGACACACCTTCCTACTTAACTAGAGACGGGATGATGGATAGAGACACTAATTTTTATTGTTACGCACGCTAATCTAAAACTGTTTTAAACAATTGTAAAATAAGCAGATTTAGTACGGAAATTATTCTTCAAAACATTTAGGTCAGATTGTCGAGGAGGGTGAGCATTATGCACGGAAACCATCCGAATAAACTACTCTACGATTTAGAATCGATGCAATTCTTTTAAAAGAGCTGGATCACAAGAAAATTTGTGAAATTCTGTGCATTTTTCTCATCTTGGATGTGTGCCAAAGGGTTTTTCATTAAAGTGGATTAACACGCGTGTCTCGTGACCCGCAAACTCTTCTAAATTTTTAACTTACAAGACGACATTTTAAAAATGACTCCAGACATCCGGACACTGCTACGACTTTAATTTTAAATTAAGATTTTGCCTGCAATATAATTATATCTTAGGCAAACGGTGTTGATACCGATTAAACACTTTCGCACTCGTTAAAGCGTGATAACGCTTTCCACATCTCGACACTCGGTAGGAGGTGACAATTATATTTAGTAGCTTTTACTTTACTACAAATAGATTCGTCTACTGTCGATGCGATGTTTAAGTTTAGCCCTATTATGTCAACAACCTAATCTTATGTCATTAACACGCTAAATCTATTTTCTCTGTGCAAACAATTTTTGACAGAAAACAATCTTTTAAGTGACTTTTCAAAATAAATGGAAGAATCCGTTTTAACGTCTGCGATTATTTTTTAAACGGGATTTACCACCACAACATACTAAACGATTCTTTAACTGGGTAATGTAATAGAGCTTTAGTGCTTTGGTTCTGTAATGCTGCCAAAGATCAAAAATGACTGTGACAGCGTGGGTAGCAGAACAGGGTCAAGAATATTGTAACGGGGTAGGTGTTAATACTGGCATGAGTCTGGTAAATAAAGATAAAAGCAACCGGCATTCTGAGATATGATAAATGACTACAACCCGGTAGACACGACTTTTCCAACGTTTCGTTCTTTATCCATTCTAGATCCGAAGGGGATATGGTCTAGTTTGAAAGATGATTTTATGATTTATGATGGTTCCAACCGAAATTATTTTCCACAGCACGAGCCTTGAAAGAATGAGCCGGGTCGTTAAACCCTGGAAGGTGTTATCTAATCGGCATCTACTTCTTACGTCATGCTTCGGTACGGCTTTCGGTGAATTTTCTTTGTTGCATAAAGTCTTTCCTTTATTCTGTACTCTAACTGAAAATAAGATGATCCTCAATTGTTTCTATCGAAGTATCGTTATATGCGGGGATTTTTTTATTTAATTCTGCTCCTCACAATATAAGGAGGTTTCGGTAGTTTGGCACGACCGAATATTGTGAGCAGTAAACTTAATGACGAATTCGGTTGGTTGCTTTGGAGTGCTCCTCTTGCTCCTTCCTGTTCGACGGGTTAGAATAGAGCAGTCGTTTGGATCATTCGCACACCGTGATTAGTCGATTACTCTTTTTCGTAGCGATGACGTCACTGATCTACTTCCTCTGATGGATAGAGCATCCAGCCGAATTCTCCTTAACAATAAACTATCTTTCCAGTATAAAATGCTATAAGAAACGATGGACTGAAAAATTTTTCTATAATCTAAAACTTGATTCTTTAAGGATTATTATTATTAAATTTTTAGGAATTCCAACTCTTAGATTGCAGAATTATAGCTTCAAACTTTCGATAGCTTCGATCTTTCGATAGGGTGAGATTTTAGTTAATTCCGTTCATTTTAGCTCATTACAATGAAAATATTTTTGCCCCTTAGATTCCATTTCCATTGGTAGATTGTGCATTATTCGATTCAAATCTGTTCTAAATTCTGAAAAGGAATTTTCGGTTGTTCAAGTTTTTAAACACGTAAAAATGACCGGGTCATCAGTTAAAATTTTTGTAATTAGATTTAGTAAGGTGCTTATAGTTACTTAGCCCTTTATAACAAAAGAACATTGATCCCTCCTTACAACAGACAGAACATTCGATTATTTAATCTCTTGTCCATAGTTTCATGAATATTAATGGCAAAGGGTTGATATTAATATTAATATTCTGAGTTTCGTTTTCAATTTCGAGAAGTGATAGTCCTATCCCTATAAGTGATGTTGGCTTAAGAGATCCTTCCCGAGCAGGAAGGATGAGCAAGAAGAAAATTGAGGAAGTATTGAAGATAATTTGGAAAAGAGAACTTAACGAGAATATAATGATTGTTTGTCGAGTTAATGAGATAATTGGGATTATTGCCAGAACGAAAATGAAGAGAAAAAACGTTTTTTGTGGCGACAAAAGTCCGCAAAAGAAATAGATACATTTTAAAATGTAAATCAAAAACATATTGGGGACAAGCTCGGCTTTGCATTTTATCACGTCCGACATCAAAAGATTGCACCATTACGTCTGTCTGAAACGGCAAAGAAAAACAACTGTTCCGATTTTGAACGCGTTTCCAAAATGCAACAACGAAGAGTGATGAGTGTCGAGATATATTGCAACTTGGGATTCTTTCTACTAATTTTTTGATAATACACCTCGTTTGCTTCTCTCTTTTTTAGCCTACGTTGATGGCATGTGCCACCAATGCAACATTTCAATACAACCAAGAAAAGTAGAACAAACGAGCTTCTAAATACTCCTTTTCATCTTTTTATTCTTGCAGAAACTGGTTATACGTGGATATCCTATCTTTTTGTACGTTGTTCTTTGAAATACATTTCATTTTTTTTTTAGTTTTGCTTTGAGGTTTCTGTATCTTGCTGCTGCCGTTCCAGGCAGAAAAAAGACTTTCTAACGAATGAATTAAGTTGAAATATATTGTAGAAACTGTTGCTTATTCGATTTACTGCATTCTACTGTATATTGCCATGTCAAAACGTGAATATCCGCGATTTGGGAAACTATAGAAAAAAGCCATATCATTGATAAAGTTGATGCACTTCACAGTGTTCGTCGTTATGTCTGGAAAACTGAATAAAAGTACTAGAGAAAAAACTCTATCATTCGAAGGATATTTGTTGAAAAGGTCAGTGACTCGATCATAATATTTTCGATTTTAAAATACGATGAATATGTTTACAACGGCATTCCTCGGGATGGCATTTCTAGTGAATCCGTCCATTCTTAGTTGAAATAATACGAAAAAAAAAAAACACTGTATAAAAGTTTATTTTGTTCATTTTGATGTCAAAATCGTTGACCTCATTAAGGTAAATCCCGAAATATCTGCTTTCATCGCAATAAATTTCTTGCAGACGTTGTCTAAAATTAAAATAAGAAGCGACACATTCTGGCATCAACTCAAACGTACAAAGTCTAGTAAAGGAATATTCATATTCGGATATGGTAGTCAGTAATGTTATATGCCATATTGTACACTGTTAATGTATCGTACAGGTATAGGAGTAGCGGTAGACGACATTGTATAGTAAGTTATGCGTTATCAGTGCGTGACATGCGGTTGGCCCGTACAAGAAATCTGTCTTAGAAATGTTACAGAGTACACGGTGTACGACAAACCACATAGATAATGAGCATTTTTACAATACATAATTACAATTGAAATGCTTGCGATAATGATTCAAAATGATTCCGTTAAAAACCGTTATTTCTGAATTTAAATTGTGAAATGGAGTCTTATCGGTTATAAACTTGGATAATAAACATAAATTACATAAGAAAAATGCAAATTAAAAATCATATTATTTCCATGTATTTTTTTAATATTAACCCGATAGGGTCATACTAATTAGTAACTTATTAAATAAATACTTTGACCCGTCACTCGGAATTCTTCTAAAGCTGCCTTGGATTTTTATGTAAATTTTTCTTAAAATCTAAAGAAAATGTTTACTGCTTATTAAACAGAGGACTCTCTATTTAAAATAACTCTTAATTTCAAAGTAGGAATCATCATTAATAAGTAAACGATACTTTAAACGTAAGAGTTGTCTTAAGGAGGATTAATAACCGTTTCTTATCAAAGACGAAATTGAAGCTGTCAGCGAATGTCTTCCAAAAATAACATTTCTCACTTCCCGGCGTGGGCGGAACTTGATACCCTTTTAATAAATAAAAAAAAAATAATAATATAATTCGTTAAATGTATACGTGATGTATCAATTGTTCGCTCTGTACAGTCATTTTCGAAAGAAACACTGTAATTTCTTTGCCGTTGCGTATTTTCCCACGTGTGTAATAACACGTGCTTTGTATATAACCTTCTAAAGATTGATGCGTGTATTCGGTGTAAAAATAATGTTTACTTCCGATCGTATCCCGCGAGAACGAGATTTATTTTGCATGTTTATAACTGACAAAAACACAAACAACACGCGAGAATTATTTTGTATAATACTATTGTACGGTTACGTAGAGTTATAACTCGTACTACAGTTAAAATAATCATCCCCCGCGTAACCAACAACAAGAATAGAATTTATGCACGTGTTACAGGTTATGCAATCTTTTCCTCCCGCACATCTTTCTACCGTAATCGTAATTTTCGTATTTATAATACTATAGAATCTATAAAACTCTCGTCTCCTTGTTGTAAATGATTATTTAAAGACATTTTTTTTTTTTAAATCCTTAAATAGATTTCATCCGCCATTTTTTTTTTTTTTTTGAGTTGATATTCTTATTACTTGCATATAACTTGGGAAAAATATTATTTTATAACGTCTGTTTTCTGATTTTAACGTATTATATTAATTTATATTGTTATAATCGATTACTGGAAGCCATTTTATTTAATTTAAACAAGCATCTTTGCCATTTTAGGATGCTAAAAGTCTTAATTTTCAAAATAATTTTGGTTTAATATTACACAATTTTTTCGTTTCCTCTTAATAACTGTTACAATTATTATTTTATAACATTTTCATAGTTTTAAGCTGTGTTTTCGGTCATTTATTGGGTAATCCGCGTGCTTATCGTTAACTGGGATTAACCGTGATTTACGTCGAAGATAGCTACAAAAGTTATATTTTATTTAAAATCTGACAAATGCAAACGTTTAGCAACGTTATAATTGTTTAACAGAAACGTTTTTATAGATTTAAAGCAGTCTTTTCGGCCATTTTGTATAGGACGTATCCTAAACGTCCTCATCGTTAACTGCTGATCTTTCTAAAGAGTTACCTTTGAGAAACTAATTTAAAGTGCTATAAATAAACGATGGGATTATTATCGCGTTTTAAAGTGTTCTAGAGCTATTTTAAACTCGTGTAAATTAGCATTAAGTCGTAAAGGGATATACATCACTCGGCTATTATTTAGCGATTGGGTAGTAGTTAATGGTTTTTTCGAGCTAGCGACTGTTATTTATTGCTCGGTCGTGTGCAGCAAACTAGATAAAACCGGACACGACTGACCACCACTCGACTGCAAAACATCTCCTCCGCGCGAAATAGCCGAAGGTTCAGGTTGTTGACTCGAAAATATGAAAGTCGAATAAGCAGTATATTCCTCTGTTTTTAATAATTATCCTCAGTTAGTAAGGTAATTAGTAAGAGGGGGCATTTTTAAGGTCTCTTCTACTTACTGTTCTAGGGATCATGATTCCGTCGTTTAACCAAGTGGCCCAACCAGTAGCGACTCGAACAGGGAAGATTCAGCATTATTTTTAGGGTATTCGTCGATTGGACCACCTCCAGCAAACTGCGACACGATGACAATAATACACACCGCGGAAAACAAGGAAACAGGTGTTTAGTACCTTCCCCTCCGATAAACCCCATCGAAAACCTTTAACTGGTTACGGGTCGTCGGGTTCGCTCCAAAACAATATTTTCATCTACTTTTCGGGGGGGATGATGTTTCGGATATGTCCAAGTACGGATCACGTGAGGTGACGATATTCGACCCCCCGGAGTTACGTCGCGACATCTGTCCCCGCTTTGCACGGATTTTAAAAGAAAATATTTGTAGTTTTGTATATAATTTCCAGTTTTATATAATACTTAATCATGGGTTACGTATGTTATAAGTTAATTGAGTAAACAATAGCGATAACAAGCTGTATGGATATGGGCGAGGTTCTCCTATTCAATAACAATGATGATGATTCTTTTTATCTTTCTCCGGAGTGAACGTTTCCTTAACTAAAAATTTGTTTATGTTGATCGCAATCGTACAAGGTTATATTAAAATTTTGCAAATAAATCTTGATAAATAATACTTGTGAATTAATGCATCCGTGTAGGGTTTGCATTATAAAAGAGCATTATATAAGAATATCGTTTATCTATACAAATAGGAAGCTTAGGGCACTGCACGTAAGCTTAGGACCTGGCGTTACGAGTCTATAGCTTAGTCTCACATTTTTACATGTATCATTATTTTGGGCAAGGGAAGGACCCGTTATAATATGTTACAGCTTAGGGTCAAAACAAGTTTAACTCCAGCCTTGGGGTAGAGTATTGCAGTCAATTTATATAAGAAGAATCGTTGAGAGCTTAACAACTTACGTAAAGAAAATGATGTGTTGCGGCATAAGCATAGCAGTTTACGTAAATGGGCTTATAAGATTAGTAATAATGTAAATGTTTATGCAAAGATACAAGCAACCTGAGGAATATAATGCTTTATACAAGTGAACGAGTGTAGATAGAAGGAACATAATAGTTTATTCAAAAGAACAAGAAAGAATAAGAGGAACGTAGAAAGTAGTTATGCAAAGAAATACATGAAAATGGAAGAAATATAAGAATTTATGCATAGAAGCGAGTGAATATAATAGAAAAATGCGGATTTATGCAAAGGAATAAGTAAGAATAACAATAATTTATGCAAAGAAATAAATAAAGATAGGAAAAAACATTGAAATGTATGTAAAGGAACAAAGATAACAAGAACATACTGACTCATATAACAGAAGTGGCCAAGAATATCAAAATCAGCAATTCATAAGAAAACCCAGCAAAAAATGTTAACATAAGCATTAGAGAATTACAACAGCAAATTAAAGAATAAAAAAAGTAACTCATATCTCAGAAATGAAACATTTTTAAACACTGCCGAAGCTTGTTTCGAAGGTTAGAAGTAATTTTAGCACGCAATAATTAATATCCGAATCGAGATTTCTATTTTCATACCGAAACGTAGAAAAAAAACATAGTCGTTGCATCGATTTTCTGTCGACCATTATATATATCAATAACTCCATTAATAAGCACATCACATCATCGCACATATAATAAATAAAGTAACGTCGATAAAACATGTGACCAATAAAGTTTTACTAACTCAAACATCCTTTAACTCTACGCTTGGAGAGATTAATAGCATGATAAATCTAGATATAACTGGAGTTATCCTTCGTCACCAGTGATTAATAACTGATATATAGTTGCCTCTTAAGATCTATAACCCTTTTCTTAATAGTTTAATTCAAATTAGTTTTTAATTTATAGTTTAATTTCTTAAATTTTGAAGGTAACGTATACTTATAAGTCTATACCTACTCCAGCTCTTCCTGGAATAGAATAACTTTTATTAAGTTTGTGTGGGAGTAGGTAAGAAAATGTAACATCTCTGATTTATATCTTCGAGTCGTGGTGACATTTTTGACAATTTAAATAAGTATTTATTAAATAAAGGTGTTCAATGTCTAGTATAAGTTCCACCCAAGGCAGTCACGATATCATTGACCTAAATTTCTATACTTCTACATGTAAGTCCCTATTGATACAAAACACTAATTTTTTTTTTTTTAATACTTTTTAATGCATTAACTTTCCATCAATTTTTTAACGCGATAGTGATCGAAATTTCTGTAAATAGCACAACCATCTTTACTGATTCACGATGCTATTTAATATTAAAATGACTATTCTTTTCACCGTAGACAGGACGGATATCATCAGTTAATATGGTAAAAAAACGATCAAATTTTGAAGATTACGGAATTATAAAGTGATAAGAAAAGACTTTTCTTAGTTTAAAACGGTAAAAAATCGTATAGATTAAGCAAGAAAACATACCAGAAAACCAAACTTGTACGTGCACATTTTAACCGAAGATGCGGGTTGTCCGGATTGTGGCAAAAATGCCGTTTTTTCGGAAGTGACATCCACTTCGACATCTTGTAAAGGGCTAGACATAGTCGTAACGGGGGACTTAAGTCAATATCCTGGAATTAATTAAGGAGAAACTCGTTGCAGAAGGTCCGTCGAGCGACATGTGTCTCGCCATACAGAACATCCGGCGGCATTACTCCTACAACAGCGCCTCCCTCCTCTTATAAATCCTTCTCCGCTGTGACGTCACACACGTACAACTCCAGTAAACATTGGTGTTTTAACGTAAGTTTTTAAAACTTGAATATCTTCGAAAAGGTGAGTCGAACTTTCGTAGAAAACACGTCTTTATTTAAGTTAAAGATTTGAGAAAAAAAAAACTATTTGATTTATTTATAAATATATCATAATTTATGTAGCGTGCCGACTTTAAGTTTCCTTACTTAGAAAGTCGTCTTTAGACTGCGTGTCAGCAAAGAGTTTAATCTTCTACACGTTTCTCAATTGCTGCTTTCCAGGTAGAAAGTTGACGAAGCGTAAACAGGAATAAATGTTGGACGAGACGGTAAGATATATAAATACATATATACATGTATGTGTATGTGTATGTGTGTTATATCTTAGTACGGCGACGACTCTACGTTTAGTCTCAACATTGACAGATAAGATGAACCGTGGCTAGGGTCAAATGTCACAAAAGAGTAGAATCGTCCACTGTTGACATAAGTCTTCCCCCTTTTCCCATTTTGCTATATATAGCTACATCTGTACATTGGTTATGCAGGAAGAGTAGCCTTCTCTCTTTATCACTGCATCCATAAAATCCATCTTTTATCACTTTAAAATATTATATACATTATCTATTTGTGTAAGCAGAATTGGTTTGCATTCTTGTAATGAATAAATTTAATATGTAATAAAACCTATGCTATACTTCACTTAAAAATTCTAACTTAAATTTTCTCTCCTTTTTATTACAAGAAAAATTGATTTAAAAAAAAAAAAAGAAGCAAAATGGGCGTTTTTCTGATTAAATTTGAAAAAAAATTGATAAAGAGCACCTGTAAAGAATGTTTGCCTACATGGCATGAATGGTCAAAGGAAATGCTTTAAAATGGAGTAAAGAATGCTTATTTTTGGATAAAATCTGTTGCAGTTTACATTTATACAGTTCATTCTTGCTTTCTAATTAATAAAATAATGAAGTTGATTATTAATTTATTAATTAGACTAATTGAGGATTTAATTAATTAATTAATTAAATCCTCAATTCTATTTATGCAATGAATGAACTGTATAAATATAAATTGTAATAAATTTTATCCAAAAATAAGTCTTTATTCTTTATGGATTATGCTCTTTAAAGCATTTCCTTTCACTATTTACACTGTGCTCTATTTATTAATTAGAAAGAAAGGTCCTGAACTAATAAACTAAATTAATATCTTAAATTTATTTAAAACTTAAAATATTAAAATTACTTTTCATTTCTTCCTTGAAAGTATATTCAGTATATTAAAAGACTGAATGAACTTCTGCCTTTTTTAATATTAATAATTAAATTAAATAATGATAAAGTAATTAAGCAAATTCATTAAAATTTGATATGATATATGATTGATGACATATATAAAATAAATACTCCATCATTTGAATATAAACTAACCTAATTTTTGTCGTAATCAATAAATAGCACTATAAAATTTCTAAATATTTATGCGTATAACATTATTACCAATTTCTTGACAGTTTATATCTCGTTACACATCACTCGCACTTTTCTAAAGCAACAAAATGATTTCACTCTTCAAGAATCTTTAAGATTTCATAATTCAGTAGCAACAACCAAAACTAAAATTATTTCCTAAAACAACTTTAAAGATTTATTATTTTTTTTTACTGAAATTTCATATGTTTGTTGTATTTTCTACTTGAAAGTTCAACCACTGAATTCAATAACATTAAAGCAAAATAAATAATTAAATAAATCATTTCTAATTCCAAAAAAATATCAGCAATTTTATTCAGTTTAACATTTAGAATTATTTAATAATGATTTAAAATTGTACAAAAATCTTAGAAAATATATGATTAATGTATACTTTAAACAATAACTAGGTCAAGGCTAAAAAATATATAAAAATTACAATTATTATATTCTTAATATCTANACGTACGATATTTTATATTAAAATACAAAAGAGAATCATCTTTAATTATTGTTTTACATTATAAATTTAAAGATAATGAAGGTTGCGAAGGAGGACTGATGGATAATGCATTTGAATATGTAAAAGTAAATAAAGGCATCGACACCGAAGATTCTTATCCGTACGAAGCTATGGTGAGAATCTTTTCATAATTATGCTATACTAACCTTATTTTTTCATATTGTTACAGATACTTTTGTTTTACACGATTTGGCACGTTTAAATTGCCATTTTTAATCTTTATGTAATTTTGCAACTCTTGTTCATGTGAGCGAAGGATTGTAGAAATATTGCAAAATTTACAACAAATAGTTCAAGATTTCAACATGTAAAAAATACTTGTGAAATGACACACGAAATTGTCGAATTACTCGAGAGATTTTAAAAGTTTTCGAAAGGATTATACTGTTATCGGATAACTTTACTAAAAGTTAGCACAATTTATGAGAATGGGATATATATTTTGTTATTAGAGTAGACCTAAATGATTTATCAATTATGACACGGATTACATGATTAATATTTATCATGGCAAATATTAGAATATAGCAGAAATTAATAAACATATTGTAATATTAGAATAAAAATTCCGGAGATTATAATCGAAAAACACAACTTAATTGGTGTTTTAATATGTTTCTTACACAATGCAATAAGGCAGTGATTTTCAAAGTGGGGGTCTCGACCTTCAATGGGTCGTGAAAAATATTTGGGAGGTCGCAGAAAACTGATGACAGATCAATGTTTTCAAATATTTTTTTAAATTTACTATGGATTCATATTTAGAAATAGCAGATTCTTTTTGGCTTAGTGTGAAAGCAGAGTATTCACTACTCTCTGAATTATGAATTAGCAATGGCAACCACTTATTTATGCGAAATGGCATTTTTCAGTAATGATCAACATCAAAACAAAGCAGCGCTGTCGTCTTTGCAACATAGAAATCGCTATGAGACTGCACTGACTGATATCAAACCCAGGTTTAATTTATTGTGTCAAAATAAGCAGGCTCACAGCACATTAAATTTAATTTAAAATATGTTTAACTTAACTAATTGAGTTTACTAATATCGAAACATATACAAAGAAAATTTTGTTCACAGATGTACCAATGATAAGTTATTAATTTTTAATGATACTAAAAAAAATCTGCTATTAAAATTGAATGTTTCAATGCAATTAAACAAAATAAAAATTAACTCCTTTTGAATTTAAATCAATTCCCTCCTTCGTGATGTTTTTTTACACAAACCCATTTTTCAGGGGTTCTTTGAAATTTTTAAGTGCAAAAGGAGAGTCGTGGACCAAAAACTTTGAGAAACACACTGCAATAAGGTATTGCATAAAATATATTTCGGTTAACTCGTAAAGTGTATCAGGAAATAATTGCATCAGCGTACATAATTAGTGGCAAAAATCATTCTTGCACTTTTCAATACCTTTACACGAACATTTCAGGAACATATTCAGTTCCTAAAAAGAGAATTGTGTGTAATTTTTTTCAATTTCCTTCAGAACGACAAATGCAGATTTAAGCGTTCGTCTATCGGCGCTACTTGTACCGGTTACGTGGATGTTAAAAGTGGTGACGAAGAAGCCTTGAAACAAGCTGTAGCAACCATTGGTCCAATTTCAGTATCTATAGATGCTAGTGCGGACTCTTTCGCTACTTACGTGTATATAATTTATACATATAAATTTTATATACAAATTGGATTATTAGAATACATTCTATCACTAAGTTAAAGTAACTTTGCATACTTTATACATATTGAATGTGAATTTTTTTCTTAATATGTATTTTATTTGTTAAACACAACATCTTTTCCTTACTTTTATCAAAAATTTTCTTGAATTTAGACTTAATTTTAACAATCTAAATTATATTAGTATACCTTGAACAGTTTCATACATAATTAATATAATGCAAAAAATAATTATATATAAATGTAATAATATATAAATTAAACAAATAAGGCATTGGATATCTTTCATTGTTACTAAATGTGTCTTTCCACTTCAAAAATAGATGAGGATATTCAGTAATGGAGAAGAAAGATGTTATCTATCTCATGACACAATTTTTCTTTTTACAATTTAAAAAACGTCAAATGAATATCCCATTTAATTTAACCATATCTAAATATATTAAAAAGAGCTCTTTTAAGATAAATTTTAACAGAAAACTATTAAAAATAATCCCTGTTTCTTTAAAAATTTATTTAAATAAAATTAATGAAAGTTTTGAATTTATTTATGAGCATTTATTACTTCTCTAATCAAAGTTTAATACTTGTTTATCTTAAAAGATTTCAAGGAAACATTTCTAAAAACACAAATCAAAGTTTAAAGATCCCTCTGTGTGAATCATTCATATTATTGTTTTATAGTTGATGGATTAAAACTTTTCTAAAATGCAAATTAAATTCTTGAACAATGTCACATGCTACAAAGAGACTATTAACTCAAGAAATAGAAAATATTGATGTATTNTTATAATATTAATAATTAAATTAAATAATGATAAAGTAATTAAGCAAATTCATTAAAATTTGATATGATATATGATTGATGACATATATAAAATAAATACTCCATCATTTGAATATAAACTAACCTAATTTTTGTCGTAATCAATAAATAGCACTATAAAATTTCTAAATATTTATGCGTATAACATTATTACCAATTTCTTGACAGTTTATATCTCGTTACACATCACTCGCACTTTTCTAAAGCAACAAAATGATTTCACTCTTCAAGAATCTTTAAGATTTCATAATTCAGTAGCAACAACCAAAACTAAAATTATTTCCTAAAACAACTTTAAAGATTTATTATTTTTTTTTACTGAAATTTCATATGTTTGTTGTATTTTCTACTTGAAAGTTCAACCACTGAATTCAATAACATTAAAGCAAAATAAATAATTAAATAAATCATTTCTAATTCCAAAAAAATATCAGCAATTTTATTCAGTTTAACATTTAGAATTATTTAATAATGATTTAAAATTGTACAAAAATCTTAGAAAATATATGATTAATGTATACTTTAAACAATAACTAGGTCAAGGCTAAAAAATATATAAAAATTACAATTATTATATTCTTAATATCTAAGATTCTTAAAATATTTCGACAGATTGTTCTACTCAAATTTTTTAAGATTGGAGTGGAGAGTTTTTATTCAATATATTATCGCCACTTAACGTGAGAATTGTTTTAACCATTTTGCCCGTTCGTCATTAAACAAGAGCGCAGCTGGATTTTACATCAAACATCAATCAAATGAGAGATTTTAAGAGATGATACAGATTGAATAAACATTTAATGAATTTCAATAAACATCCAAACATTTGGAAAATATTTAAAGATGTAATATTTAAGAGAATAAACACTGCAGGATCCTAACATCTGCACATTATCTACGCAAGGTTATACTATCTAAAAAATATAAATATTAATATGATTTTCAATTTAACTGCATACAGAACAGTTCTGTAGATTTATGCTGTCATTTTGACATAAAAATCTGTAATATATAAGTTTATATTGATTTAATGTAGTTCAAAATCTTTTAAGTTAAATATGATGTAATTTAAGTGATCTTAGTGCATAGGAACTATATAAAACTTTTTAAACTTTCATTAGAATTTTTATAAAAACATTGAAATTTAATAATGCATATCAAATAATTGTTTCTAAAATTAAAAATTAAACTTAAATAAATATTTCTATTTAGTTACAATTTGTTTATAAATATTAATCAAGTTTCTTGCTTAATAAGTCACTAAGCGTAACACAATTCTGTTTCCTTTATAAAAATTCCTTAGGTTGAAGTCTTGTAATTTCTATTTACAATATATAAAAATCATGAATTAGCATTTTGAATTAATATTTGGGCAATACAATATAATTCTGACACTAATTCATTTGCAAAAATTATCTTTAGGATTTATTTTATGTTATTTAAATCTATACAGAAAGATCAGACACATAATATATATTTGCATATTAATTGTAGTATAAAAATTCAGCAGTCTAAAGTAGTGACATAGATTAGATAAGGTAAAAATCNTATATAACTTTTACAGTGTTATACTGTAAAAGGGGATATGATACATATAAATCTAGTTTAAAAATTTTGATTCAGGATTTAATTTATGTTGATTCACCAAATTTATGAGAGAAAAATATTATAATATTGTTATGTTAAGTCTGATAAATATCTTTTGACTGTAATTAAAAGTTAAGATGCATAAAGAGATGTGTATATAATTTATACATATAAATTTTATATACAAATTGGATTATTAGAATACATTCTATCACTAAGTTAAAGTAACTTTGCATACTTTATACATATTGAATGTGAATTTTTTTCTTAATATGTATTTTATTTGTTAAACACAACATCTTTTCCTTACTTTTATCAAAAATTTTCTTGAATTTAGACTTAATTTTAACAATCTAAATTATATTAGTATACCTTGAACAGTTTCATACATAATTAATATAATGCAAAAAATAATTATATATAAATGTAATAATATATAAATTAAACAAATAAGGCATTGGATATCTTTCATTGTTACTAAATGTGTCTTTCCACTTCAAAAATAGATGAGGATATTCAGTAATGGAGAAGAAAGATGTTATCTATCTCATGACACAATTTTTCTTTTTACAATTTAAAAAACGTCAAATGAATATCCCATTTAATTTAACCATATCTAAATATATTAAAAAGAGCTCTTTTAAGATAAATTTTAACAGAAAACTATTAAAAATAATCCCTGTTTCTTTAAAAATTTATTTAATATATGGCAAGAAATGTATTAGTAATAAAATTTTATTAATTATTAAAGGATATGTTGTGTAAATTTTTATTAATACGTTTAAAATGATTAAGAAATTAAACTGTAAAGTGTCCTCTCCACATCTCCACATCTTCACCAACCGGTCAATAATAATAGGGGCATAAACAAATCGAAGCTCATATAATGCGTCACCGGTTTATATAAATCGATTCTCGAATTTACCATAAGCTAAATAAATAGAAAAGGATGCGAACAATAAACAAACAGATTGCATCATTCTGGCCATAGTGCCTAGTTAATATGTCATCGTCTATAGATGATTCACAAGAGCAAACAATAAATCACAGGTTTAAGAAGGCGTGTAACGGCATTATTATTATTATTTTTTAATACTTAAGTGGCATTTTATACACGCATTTCCATTATCACACAATATAACTAACTTGTAAATTCGTCAATAACAATGGAACATAAGGAGAAACTTGCCTATGTTTTGTGGTATGATAATGCGAAAACACTTACTGTTCTTGGTAGCATCTTTTGATGATGTGGAAGATGATTATCGAATCTCTATCACAATACACATTCCAAACATAAAGAATAATCGAAGAAAAGTAATTTTTTCCAGTCTTTACCCTTTTCCGGATGGGTATATCCCCGTCTTTTCTACCGACTTTGTATGTTGGTTTGGCAGTATTTTTAGGATTGGCAAGTCACTAGTAGAACGCGCGAATTTTTGGCTTGGATCCACGCTGTCTCCGCAAGAAATGCCTCTTTTCTGTCCGGCAACCTGCACCCCGTATATATTGATATTAATTATAAATATAACTTCATTAACTCCAACACCTCTTTAAAACCTTCGTTAATTAATAATCAAACCTTAAAAGCATTTCTTTCTATTCTTCTTCCGTTAATTATTTTGTTTACAATCAGCTTAATGTCTTGTTTGTTTTCATAAATCAACATCATTTTTTTTTTTACTCCTCCCTTTCAAAAATCTTAAAAAATGCTGCAGTCTCATCTGGTCATGTGATTATGAAATACGGGTTCGAAATTTAAGAAATATCAACAATTATTATTCCAAATTGAAATTTTTAAAGATATTTTTTAATCCATCGTAAAGACGCAAAGAACTACTCGATGTTTTCTTCTTCTTCTAACTTCCAATAGGTCGGAAAATACGTTCATTATCCAGGGAAATATTGTTATAAGGAGGTAATTTCTATGTATCTTTAATTTAAAAAAAAATTATTTATATTTTAAGTTTTTAGAGTAAAAAACATAAAAACATCTGGTTACGTTTCGTGGAAATTCCTAAGAAGAAGACATTCATCAACAGAACTATTAATAGACACGTGTATTTAAATTCTGTAATTTTTCTAATTTTGATAATTGGTTTAGTTCTGTCCTAATGGTTTCTCGATAAGGATTTAAATTTTTTATTAAATGGAATTTTTTACGCTTATTCTTACCTAATTCTCAATCCTTCCACCGTTTTAGTATCATTCAGTGCTTATTGACTAGTGTATGGCGATCTCCAGTGTTTATAATAATTTGAATATGTCTGTCGGGTTCTAGTAAATTAGAAATGAGGTTGCCAATTAAGAATGGTCAACAAATACATCTGTGATTACTAATAAATATTCCCCTCTATTCTGTTACAACGCTTCTGAATCAACAGGTATCTTGGTAACATGGTTTTATCTGGTATGAGAATTAACTTTCTTCTTTAATTCTAATTTCAATTATCCAATTTAATTAGGTCCATTCGAAATTGCTGAAAGTGCAACGACGTTCTCTTGTACACACTAAAATAAAATTGGTACGAGAGAAACCTTCGAGTTATTCACACTCTAAATGTTAATTACACGCTAAAAAGCCAGTCTCCCCGGCGAAAATTATGAAAAAAAAATGTGTTGGGCTA